GTACGCGGGAAACGAATACGGATACATCTGCCTTAGCGTCGAGCAACCCTTCATCCGAGATATCGTCGTCGTCCGGAGCATGAGGAGTCGCAAACACCAGAGGCAAACATAATATGACGAGCGCTTCGGGCTACGCTAGGAATAAACCTCTTCTCTTACAGTTATTTCTGCGTTGACATCTGATCCGCAGGAGAGTCGCGAATGGGGCTCCCGTCTTTCGTAAAGTAATCCTCTCGAGTCGTTCTTTCATCAAAACTGAACTTTACATCGTGACGTAAAAGAGAAAAAAAAGGGGGGGAGAAAAATAGGAAATGGAAAAATAATACAAAATCGGCTCATCTCACCTATTTTACTCGGCAACTTGTTTTTTTACAGTTTTTGAGCAGCTGAATCTGATTCTGATCTTTAAAAATTGTAATTTGTCGGAAAGTATTAAAATCAACACATGAAACTATTAAACATCTAGTACTCTATATTATTGTTGAGCTTTATGAACATATTCATTCGTGTACTATTAGTAAAACATGATAATGCTCTCATCTCTGATAATACTCAAATAATCTCTAATAATTCGTGTCCTGATCAGCTCACGTTCGTGCATTCTATGTAGTGGAACCTCATTATATTCATTATATCTTCAGGACCAAAATGTGATTATGTTCCATTAATTTTTTCTTCAATGTTTTGTTTTTTTCTTTATATATATATATATTCTTCTATATATATTATATAGGTTTCTGTCTATTAAAAATATTTTTTTATTGTAAACTTTACGGAAAAAATATTTTTAAGCGCCAAGATCCGCTTTAACCAAATAAAAAAATCATTTACTAATTTGTGTTGTTCATATATCAGTCGATTTTCACTTAGGTTTGCTTATTTTACTCCAGTTTTACGTTTTCATTAACATATCATTTTCATAATAGTTTATACATTTAATAGCTTCATCTACTGATTTTGATACTTTTCCGACAAATTAAAAATTAAAAAAAAAGTTAGAATTAGATATTCGGCAGCTCGAGAAATATAAGAAAAAACATACCGTTGTATCTGCCATTCCGTAGACCAAAATCTGCCCATTTTACCCATCATCTCTTAATCGTCTGTCAAAATTGACATAATTTTGCGAAGTTAACGCGATCTCTGCGGAATCTTACGAATAAACAGCTGCGAATATGAGAATACGGCTGATCTTTTTAAGAGATCGGTTGTATCGTCAAAACGGAGCAAAGCAATCGAACGTTGGACTGTGCGGCGATGAAAGGCCTGGCTAAGGTACCGCTTCATTTTTCATCCGGCTAACCGAATTTGTCGAACTCGGACCTGCGCCAAGGGTGGGATCTAATTTCAGGGCCATTCCGATGGATACGAGGTCCCACCCTCGCCGACCGATAGCCGTGAACTATCATTTGTACGAATTACATCGCCGACCCTCCTTACATCGCCGATCGTTTGTTATTATTAGCCTCAGTGTGCCGCTTGTAACGGTTTCGTTATATCCCCCGCAAGACGGGACGTCTTAGGTATCGCAGGTATCTCTAAGGCAGTTTGCTCCACATGTCCGAGCTGGTTAATCAGCAGTTATTCCGATGAGAACGAATTTGACGCAACGCGCACGAACATCGTCCAAAAATAGCGCAAAGAGCGCGCAACACTTGTTCTTCGGATCCGAATTCACGAGTCGAGTTAAGCGCGTTTGATTGTTTCACCAATTTTTAGCTGGAATATCGAAAACGAACGACGACGTGGAATCGTGAGGAGGAGATCTCGGCGAAGATCGATCCGGACGAACCGCGTCAAAAGAATCGACGAAATAATTACGTCAACCGGCTCGGACGTCTCTTCCTTTCTGTCTCTCTCTCTCTCTCTTTCTCCTATTCTACCTCCCTCTGTCTCTCTGCCGGGCTTCCTAGCAGGTGGGTTAAGCTTTCATCCTCAGGAAGCGTGAAGAGGCTCTCGTATCCGCTGATGGGGGTCCGAGCTCGTCCCGATCCCGAGCTGGTAAGGGGAGGTTGCGCGCGCGGTGCGATGGAAATTATACGTACATAAGAGGAACGGAAGGTGAGAGACTGGTACGTTAAAGAAATTAGAGAGATAATTCCTCGGACGAATACCCAATTTACCCTTTCGTCCGTACCGAGCGCCCTGGCCTTATTATCTAAAGTGCTCGGCTGCCAGAGAGGGTAGCGAAAAAATAAAAAGAACACCCTCTCCTAACGGAAAAGGCGGAGGGTCGGGCGGGGCGGTGGCAGCTTGGAAGGACAAAAAGTACTAAAGTACACCTCCGACCTTCTCCTACGAGCGTCGCGCTATCCGGAACCCAGCAGCAGCAGCGGGACGCTGGCATGCTGGGGAAACTTTTTTCGGCTCCTATAATTTATTTACGGCTGAGATATTTTTCTCCGTACTTCAACACCTTCCGCGGCCCCGTCGCCGGCGATTCTCCGGCGAAAAGCGAGGTAGAAAAGAGGTGAACGAACGTCTCTTAAGCGATTCACCTTTCTTCCTTACTGCATCCGCGCCGAGACTCGCCCTCCTCCGCTTCCTTTTTCGCTGATATGTCCGCGTGTTCGTTCGCTCCTTATCTCTCTTCCCCTTCGGCGCCCCGGGTTTTACGGGCGCGCTTAATCTCGACGTTCGACTTTCCGCGTGGAACTTTCCGACCGATAGTCACGTCGTCGGTGCAAAAACGCAAACGACGACTCTCGACGTGCGTCGTGCTTCCTTCTTCTTCCTCAGAAACGCTCGAATCGAAATATTAATCAGCCCGAGCGGGGGAGGAGGTGAGCTTCACCGGCGATTAAAAGTATTCAGCGGTCGAGACGGTCGGCCGATTTAACGTCAAACGACGGTTCCCCGCTCTATTCAAAATACCTGTCAAATTCCGCGAAGGGCATCCAGCGTTCGTTCGGCGCTCTCGCATGCGCGCTCGCGCGCGTTATTGCAATCACGAAAAATCAGTGCCGCGGCGAGCCGTAGTCCCGAAATACATTTTCGTATGTCTGCCGGTTCTCGGCCGGCACGCAGTTTTAGCGTCGCGAACGTCCGAACTACGAGAGCGGCTACGAGAGCACTAGTCTTTGTCGCTATTTTGGGGAATGGACGCAGGGACGCGAATACGTTCGATCGATGAATCACTCCGTACACCGTGACGTTGACGCGCGGCGTTGGCGCGAGGGAGAGACGAGGGTCCACACGAGTTCCATGCCGAAACGGCGAGCGGGAAGCGCGCGGGCGACGGGGGGGGGGCGCCGAGCGTTCTCTCGCAGAGGGGTTGGATGCACCCCGTCGCATATATATGGTGGCGGCTCACCGGTTGCGGGTACAGGCTATGCAGGTGCGGGTGTATTAAAAAGCGGGGGTGGCTGCGGTCGCGTACCAATCACCCGACAGGGACGAGGGGGTGGTGGTGCCGTTGGACGAGACGGCGGGGGGTCGGATAGCCGGCAACTGGACGATCGGGGGCAGTCAGGGCGCAGAGAGGGATCATATAGAGACGGTTTGTTGCGAGAGAGAGAGAGAGAGAGAGAGAGAGAGAGAGAGAGAGAGAACACGCCCGAGCCCACGCAGAGCCCGTGAAATTTTAATCGTGTCGTCATTGGGGTAGTTTGTTGCGATAACCCGACCAGCATAGACGTATACGGATTTCGGCGGAGGAGGAAAAAAAAGAGAGGACGGAAGGTGGAAAACCGTGCCGTTCTCCCTTTCTCTCTTTCTCTCTCTCTCTCTCTCCCTCCTTCCCTCCCTCTTTTTTCCGGGTATTTTCTCGTGCTGCCGGGACGGTATATCGGACGAGCAAACACTAAGCATCGACGCGCGTATATTATTCGTTTGCATTCATTAACGGTGCAGAAGTAAAAGTTAGATCGGGATTTGTGTCTCTTTTTCTCATCTCGCGCGCGACGAAACTTCTGATTCTCCTCCGGCTGGTGATTCGCGCACGATTCATCGCGCGTTGATCTTGTCCGAGGATTGGTTGTTAAAAAAAAATAAAAAAAATATATATATATGAGAGAGAAAGAGAGAGAGAGAGAGAGAGGGAGAGGTACTCTTGATGCGAGAACGCGAAAAAACGTTGTAACGAAAATACTCGTAACCGTAAACACATTACGGGCGATCGCGGACAGGTAGAACGACCCGCTGAAAAACGCGGAACGGAGAGAGAGATTCATGGGAAGCACGACGTGTCGGCATTATTGCTCATTTGACCCGGCGGGCATCGGAAAATAATGTAGAAAATTGTTTTGCGGTCTTTTTATCTCGATTTCAGGGACGCCGGTCAGCGTGCGGGGCTGACGGGTGCTTTGTCTGTTTCCCATCAATCACGCGGACCTTTTCACCGTGCGGATATCGGGCCTGCCCGTTTTTGCGTGCGGTGCATCCCGCTCGATTGCAATCGCGGCGAATTATTGAATCTGCTGCATCTCGTCCGACCGGATTAGGTTGCACGCGCGGATGGCTCGATACACGATTGCGATTTGTTCATTTTGTCGCGGAGTGCCGTAAGGATATATTCGGCTGCGACGTGTTTTTAAGAAATATTACACGGTACGATCAACAACGTGTTTCCCGCGATGTTGATAATTATGCAAAGTGAGATCATTCAATGCACGTAACGCGTCAGATAATTTTTTTCTAATTATAATTGTTCTAATTATAATTCTAATTATAACTATCCCCTAAGGAAGCATTCAGGAATTCGACGGCTCTGTTGGAAAATTACTACGTTTATAAGCGAGATAACGTCATTGCGAAAATTGCGTTGATAGTTTTCGATATAATTATATAATACATAATCACAGAGAGAGAGAGAGAGAGAAAGAGAGAAATGTGCACTTACCGGTTTGAGCTCCGCGAGATGTCTTCTCCGCGTCTTGACCAATAACAGATCTCCTCGGCGAAAATCTACGCCGATCGTACAAGAGAATAAATCGAATAGATCGTGGAACGGCTGATATTACTTTATTTGATGATGTACTTAAACAATGAGAGTGATTTTGATTAAGGCCAGTCACGCGTACATACAGCGTTGTCGAGCACGACTCGTGGAGCTCACGGACGATATAATTATACAATGACATTTTCTCCCACGATTATATGTATATATCGATATCGCCTCGTCTCGAACGACAGCGGCGTTGCCCCGTGAAAAGGAAACAATGGCTCGACGGGGGGAAGGGATGTGACTCGGCCGGGATTCGAAGTCCTTAGAGTGGTAATATTTACAATACGAGCTACTCAGAATTTCCACTTGTACCGGGGAACGAAATGTCCACCTACCACACGAGTATCTTCCTCTACTTCCTTCTCTGAAGTAACAATACGAAGTAATCGTTAAAACGCTCTCCTTCGAGATGACGATCGGGATGAGTGAATTCGGAAACGCGTCCTGATCCAAGAAACTTGTTCTTCAGGATCGTAAGGTCGCGTATCGCGGCAACGACGGGCTCGTGTAGTCGATGAGACATTCGCAAGGTTCGAGTATTCTTAATCGGGATGACGAGAGGGGGGGGGGGGCAATGCTTAACGTGTACTCTTGAAACATTATTAACCTAGATAGTTAGTCGGGCATTATTATATATTTACATACTATGCGAAAACGTAAACCCTGGTTAGTCCTCGAGTCCATGACAGTTCTTAGAAACGACACCGCGACGGGCGAGTGTGTGTGATGATATACAAGTAAAACCCTGACAAAAAAGTTCCTCTGACGATTAATTTGCCAAGCGGAGGAAAATCACGCTACCGTCGTCGCGCGACGTCCGACTGGGCGTCTTCCGTTTATCCCTCGACAACTTAACGGTGATGATATATCGCTTAGCGTTGCTAAACTAATCTGTAACATCGTGCAAGCCCTGCCTCTGGCATTAGACTTGGGCCATCGAGACAAGATTAATCAACGTTCGCCGCGTTCTCCGCGAAGGTCGTTCTTTTCCGGACGAGGGAAGACCGCGTACCGCGAGACCTCGCCCAGCTAACCGCTTTGGCTCGATCTGCGGTCTTTCGAAGCCGAGCCCGACTTCTCCCCTCCTTTCTCGTCTCTGGGTCTCGGCGAGTTCGTGAAAAGTGTCACGCCCGAAGGACGCGCGAACGTGCTCTCGCTCTTCGAACTCTTAATAAGGTCTCCACACGTGCCTGGGCTTCGGACTTCTTTCTCTCCGCGTTCTGACGGCTTCTCTCTCGACGTCGATCCCGTCCTCCTTCCTCCGTGTCGTTAGGTCTTGACCGATATTTTCCTTGTCCTGGCCTTTCTTCGTGCTAAGGTCCACTGTGCCCTCCAGACGGATTTTCACGGTGAGATCGCCGCGACGGCCGATCTGATCCTGATCGATCTGGATCTCCGAGTCGTTTAGATTCTCTATGCTCGGTCTCAAACGAATCGACGGTTCTTGGAAGGTGGCGTCCGTGGACACGGCGTCTTCCAGATCGCTCCTGATCGGTGAGATTCTCGGGGAGTCTTGTTCGGGGAGGGACTCGTCGCTCCTGACGCGGTCTCTGTTCAAATCCTGATCGTTCCTGTCGTCCACCTCGATGCTGTCGTCCGGACTGTCCAATCCGGACCGGCGCAACACCCCTTGCTCGTCTCCTCTCCGCTCCTCGTCCTTCGTGCTGCTCTCAGGGCTGTCGCTGCTGCTCCTCAGCTTCCTGAGCTCCTCCAGACGAGCCTGGTCCGGCCTCTGCAGCCGTTGCTGCGCCATTCTCAGGGCTAGAGCGTGCCATTCAGGTTCCAAAATATACTGTTGCGTGTGGTACAACGGGTTGTAGAGCCATGAGGACTGCGGCAACAATGGCGCGAATATCGAGCCGAAAATGGATCCCGTGGCGCCCAGTAGATGAAGACCTGTTACGAGCAAGACGGCGTGTTAGCTTTGTGCAAATTATACGTGCATGTGTGTACACATATGTATATACGGGCGGCGAGCCGAGTAGATCTCGGGTCGGGAGTGTCTGGACTTTTACCTTGAAAGTGTGAATGATGTCCGGACGGGCTGGGCGTCGTGGTAGTGGTGGTCGACTCGGCGGGAGGCGTTGGCGCCGTCACGGAGGCCGTCGTTAGCAAACCCGGTCCGGGGTTCCCGGGTGACGTTGTCGGCGTTACTTCCCGCACCGACACGCTGATGGGGCCTAGGTCGCTCCTCGTGGATTCTTTCGGACACACCAATTTACGCGGGACTGTTAATCACTTAACCTCGCCGGAGGCGTTCTTACTTAAATCAGACGCGTACTTTATAATGGGCGAACCGCGCGACTCCCGTCGGAACTTTCTTTTCTCGCGAAACGATTGCGCGTCTTTACCGGTATTAGGTCCAGGCAGCCTCGGGGATCTTTGTTCGATGGCATGGTGGAAGGGGTTGAAGGCCGACGCGCCAACCGGCTGTGGGTGTGTGTGCGGATGGTGGCCGGGCGGCGGTGGAAGACAGTGCGGTGGTAGAGATCCTCGGGGTAGCCCGCCCCAACCCTGGCCCGCACTTTGCTCCAGGCCCAGGTGTTGCAATCCTGTGCAATCAAAGAAATGCAGATTACGCGCATCCGGGGATTCTGTTTGCGCGCGCCGTGTCCCCGTTGTCATCGCGCGCCGCCCTGACCTCCATATCGCTCCGAAATATTTGTCGTTGCTGACACCCTCCCTCCTTCTCTATCACACACACACACTCTCTCTATCTCTTTCCGTGTATGCGCGACTCGTTAACGCGGTTTCGAACTTTGCGTCTAAGAATAGACATTAGGACTAGATTCGACCACCGCGGTTTCGGTAGCTACGCGTGCACACGTCGGCGATTGACATTCTCAAACGAGTCACTATCTTTCGAAAAGCGAGTTACGCGACGAGTAGACGGCAGTACCTGAAAGTGACTGATACGATCGTTTTGTGACAAGACACAACATATTTCTGGGCGTCACGGTGGCGTTGTATAATTTGCCGGCAGGTAAACGGTGATCGACTGACAGTTCGAGTCGTAGAAACGCATCCCTTTGACGTAGAGGCGGTTTTGACGTGGATGGACAGTTAAATTTATCCAACAGAGAATGCACGGACGATCGATCACCTTTTTTTCGATAATAGCCAATATCGCGCGGTCGCGCAAGCATGTGTTTGAATGCAATTAAATTTATGACATCAAAAAGTTCGTCCGAGCGTGATCGGTCGGACAAATCGGACTGACATAAGTCGCGCATCGCCCGCGCCTTTGTCGCCCGTTTGCGCTCCTCTTGCAAAACAACAAATTGATTTTCGTCTCCTTTCACCGACCAAAAATCCCTCCCCTTCTCTATCCACCTCTCACTCGTTGCGCGAGATATTCTTTTCTCTCGCGCTATCAGCGTGTCCTGAGAGAAAATCATATCTCACCCCTCTCGCGTACGACATCACCGGTAGCTGACGACGTGCTAAACGCGGTCGATCCTCAGTGCGAGGGACGGCGTAAGGAGTAAGCTCCGTGGTCATCGACGTGGTATCGGTTTTTCGAAAGACCTTGATCAATAACAGATTATGCCGTCATCTGTGCGGGGCAGTTTAAAAATTCCGTGAAGGCTGCGAAGCCACCGTGCGCACCGGGGGTAGGGGTCACGGCGGGGTGGCAAGCCAGGGGTAGTCGTTCGCCGGAGCGGGGAGAATTGTCCGGTCACTGGCACGAGGGCGTGATCACCGAGACACGCGGATCGCCCCATTGGCGGCTTGCGCACCCCCACCGGTCGCGTCGCCGCGGGTGGTGGGATGTGAAAAAGCTCGGTAGGGGTTGAAGGGGTGATTTTTAAGCTCTCTTTAAGCCGCGCGCTCGCCAGGGAGGACACCGCTATCTCGCGTCCTACCACACACCGGCGTGGCACACTGAACGGGCCAGCCGTGAGAGCTCGTAGCCCTCCTACTTTATGAGGGGATTAAGAAAACGATAAGAGGCGCGCGAAAGCACCGCTGCCACCGAGCTTACGGGGGCCAACGGACGGCTTCCGTTCGCTGCAGCATGAATAAGAACCCACTTCGGTAAGCTTTTCAGGCGCGAACCGGGATTCTTAGGTGACGACTCGCGTCGCGCGAGCATCGCCGGCCCCGATAACTGACAATGAGTCCTCCCGTGAGTTTTCCTCAGCGATCGAGCCCCTCAGGAACATCCCCCGCTATTAATGCTGATGAGATCTCTATAACGAATGACGCAAGTCAGACTCGGTGAAGTGTGTCCGCGTGTGTGTTTCAATAATCATTTTTCATTATACGACATCGGCAATTTCAAAGAACAAATATCGCACAATATATATCATTGCTACTCGCGAAATATGAAAAAAAAAAACATACTAAACAACTTTTTCGGGCTGGAGCCTGTGGAGTTCGCGCATGAGGTGTAAACGTTCGATACGGACACGTATCTTTCCCCCATGGGGGTGGAATGGTGTAACATATTTTCAATTTAATAAACCCCGAAAATGCCGTGCGCGCACCCTCTTTCGACGGAACTCGCGTGCCGGGTTGGGTTCGGCTGGCGGGCGATAATTCCGAAAACAAATGAAGACTAATGAGGGGTGGGCCCGGCGAGATCTGGGAAAGAGTGAGAGCGAGGGAGACAGTGCGCAGGAGACGCGGCTGAAAGGGTTCAAGGAGCCGCCGCTACCCTTTAAGGGGTGAGAAATGTTAAGCTTAAACGTTACGGCCCTAGGGTTAGTTGCCTTTGCGTGCGCCTTCCATCGGGGTACTGGAGCTTTAAGGGATGATGTATTATCGAGCAGCGTGCTCAAAATGTGCTACGTACTTTGGTCGCGCCAGCCCCCGAGATGCGGTAATGTGACGTCACGTGTAATATGAGCTTTTAAGCGCAGCTTTATATACGTTTCGCCGCCGAGCCGCGGGGTGAATTAAATTTCGCCGCGTCGATTATATACACAAAACTCGTCGCCGGCGAGGCCCGGAATGTTTCTTACACTTCTCGTCCCGCAATTATTCCCGCGATGTCGTAACGGTTTCCTGGTAGCGCCGAGGAGAGGATCGCGCATAAACCGTCGCCCGTAAAATTCCACTCTGTGTAAAACCCTTTGAATCTGCTCAGGCGTCGTGAGCTTCGGAGCGCGAGCACGTTTGCGGCGATGAGACTTAAAGAGCCGTTTAAAGACGTTGATTCTCGAGGCGTGACACGCAGCCTTGTGTTGAACGAGCGAGAAGTCCTTCGAGTTTCTCACCTTAAACCCTCCCTGATCCCGCCAGCCCGAGATACATAATAAATTAATTCGCGTATTTTCCTGTCTGCCTTATCTATTCAAATCTATGCAAAACAGGCGTTAAAAACGCCCTTCTTGCTGCTAAGGCGTTAACCCTTGCGAAGCTCGATCCCCCTCTTTACAGTCTCTTCGCATTCTCTCTCTGTTACTCTCCGGCTCGTTCGTCGCTCCTCTTTCTACCTCGCGTTCTATCCTCTAGCTACTGCCGGTTGGATGTCTTTGCACACCCACCCTTTGCGCCCGTTCTCATTATCGCGTCGCAGCAACCCCTAAAATGCCACCCTGGAAAGGTCCCTGGCACCGATCTAAGCTCCACGAGGAGATATTTCGAGAAAGGACGAGAAAATTGCTCTCTCTCTCTCTCTCTCTCTCTCTCTCTCTCTTTCTCCTCGCTTCTCTTTCTCTCTTTTCCTCTCCATCTTTATCCCGCTACTGCGAGATTTTCTCTTTGAAGTCGCGAAAGAGCGCAAAAATGATGGATCTTTTGAGAAATTGGCGATGCTCAGCGATGTATAAATTTTCATCCCCATCGTTTATTATTACATGCTACAATATATACAGTACGAATTTTAACATAGTATTGTTATTAACGCGATAATTGATTCCACGAATGCGCTAGAAATTTATCTGATTTCATTAAAACAGAACGAAAAATCGCTTTCACCAGTTTAAGTTTCAGTTTTACAATTACCCTTTGCCTTTTATAAATATCAGTGCTAATAGTATCATAGAACATGGAATTTAACAGCAGTACATGCCGGTTTAAATTTCTTCCAAGTTTGATTTCAAGTTGAATTCAATTCTTTCGAGTACCAAGTATTTACTTGCTTTAAAGTTGGCTTCAAAGTTAGCCGACAAAATCGGTGGAGGATGAATCGATTGAGGAATGTCGTTATCGGGGCATCTATCTCTTAGGCTTGGTGGATTTTCGCGTTGGCGATAGGAAAGGAGATGAGAGAAGAGACCGACGGCTAGAGAGAGCGTCATTAGTTACCGTCGCTTCCAGAGAAAGGTCCCGGTCACTGGACCTGATTAAAAGACGGAACATCCCGGGGCGCCCTTGCAAGACACGCGCAGGGGGGTGAAATGTGACGCGAATTTAAAGGATCCGCAGTGATTCGACACGGGGGTGGACAGGAACAACCCTTAAAAAGGTTCCCTTTAAGGACCGCACACCCGAAGGGTTGCCGCGTTCGGTTTTCCGTGTACGTGAAAGAGCCCTTTAAACGCGTCGCATCGTAAATCAGGTACGACGGTGTCCAAATTCGAAGCAGGAACATAATCCGACGATCGTGGTGGTGGTAGCGTATCACGATAAAACCCGTCGCGATTAGACAAATCTTCACTCGGTGAGATTTAAGGCGCCTTGTACTACTACAATAGCAGCGATTTGTCTGCAAAAAAAGCAAAATGTAAAAACAATACAGAAAGAAATATATATATATATATATATATGTATATATATATCTGAATAACACGCGGAAGATGGAAGAGAATTTCAGGGTCGTCACTTTTCGCAAATTGCACGTTTGGTAAGAAAGGTGGTTCGCTTTAAGGAAGGCCGCGAATTTACTGCAAAGCGATCCGGGAGCGAAGCGACAGTTTTAAACTGAGCGTTCCTAACAATCTCCCCCAAATGAGGTAAAGGCCACCTTATTGAAACAGGGGTCGCGATTTTTCCGGTTCTCTCCCCAACCCCTCCGCCATCCGACCCCCCTCGTAGGCGGTTAATTGACACGGGAGAGCGGAAAGAGGGAGGGCAGATTGGGGCTGCGCGAGCTGGTTCTTGTTAACTTGAATCTTGGCACCTCGCGATTTTTCATCCCCTTAGCCAGACTGACAAAGACGACGGCTCTCGGCCTCCCGGGAGGCGCGCGATCAGGCTGTTTTCGTTCGCGGACAATCTCAGCGACGATCTGCCGTGTGGTATCTGTCAACCGGATACATTAATTTTCCCCGAGCTTGCTGACGATCGCTTCGAAACGTGTCGTGAAACTTTGAAAAATCAACGCAGCCGGAAAGTGGGAAGGCGTCTCCCTCGACGTTGCGTTTGCTGCTCGGAATTTCGGGATCTACGGGAAAGACGCTGTTTTAATGATTCCACGCGATTGTTACGGACGACGCAAATGATTCTTCATAAACCGACAAATGTGTTGGACGGTGAGACTTTAGTTGATCGGCGGTGATGTTTTTACCAATGCCGAGCATACACGCGCGATGAAAGATTAATCGCGCCGCGGGAGCGAGCAACGCGCCATCCCGATATATTGAGATCGACGAACGGAAAGGCGAAATTAGAGCGGATATCGGAGCTCTCTCGTCGTGGGGAAGAAAGGCGCATTGGTCCGTCGGACCTCGGCGCTCTCACGCAGCCCTTAGGGAGCCCATAAAATTCGTCCCTGCTGTCGAGGTAGGCCCGAACGAAATTTAATAACATCCCCCTAGTTACACCTCAATGGGCACCTTAACAACCCTGCACGGCCAGCCACTCGACCCCGCTGCTTTTCCCTTTCTCCTTATCAACCCTCTGGCGTAGATATCTAATAAACCACCACTTGAACACCCTTACCTAGTCAGCGATATCCGGCCGGGCGAGCAGTCGGCCGGTCGGGCTTCGAAAGTTCGAAAGGTGCACGACTGACCCTCCGTCGGACTGGACGGAGGCGCAACCTGTGTGCCGGCCGGCGAACCCCCAGCGAAAGGGTTGAAAAAACGCGCGGACTCGAAATAAACCGATCGATATTCGAGCGCCGTGTTCTCGCGCCCTGCCGGAAACAATGTAGGTGACCCAATTGCCGCGGGTGCCATTTATCCGACGCGTGAAAATTGCGCGCCGATCACTCGTGATATTCGTTCACGTTGCTTCTGATGTCACTTCGATTCTTTAATATCGACCGACGGACCCCTTCGAGCCCCTATCGGCTCCCGCAACGTTATCTCCCGACGCGCGATTTAAAAGAAGAAACAAAGCACGAGCCCCGAAAGGTAGTTGACAATTGTCGCCGGATTAAGGTCCGATGCCTCTAATTATTCTCCCGCGCGATGTCGTCGGCGGGGAAGTCGTGTCGGGCGGGAGGATCCGCGCGGATCACCGAGTCGCGAGACGAACGCGAAAGAGAAGAAAATTCGGGGGCGTACTAGCGGGGGCGCGGCAGTGGCTGATTCTTGATTGAGTAGCGCGGGGATGCGCGGGGCTCGGATGGGGGAGAGTAGCAGCGAGAAATCGACGGCAGGACTGCCATCCCGTAGTACGCCTCGGGGATAGGAGGGAGCGAAGCTCCGTTAAGCCGCTTATCATGCCGAAACAATACACTGTCGGTGCACCAGTATCAGTACCCGACCCTCGCTGCTCCGGGCTAGTCCCATCAAAATTTGGAGCTTCGAACGAGTTTCAATGGAATTCGTGCCACCCGACTGTCCTGTCGAACCGGCCGGATACCTGAAAACTTTTTCGAAAACGCTCTGCGACGATGAAACGTTTAAACCATCGTTTATATCGCAGCGAATGCATTAGCGAAGGAAGAGTTTTCGTTGAGCGCTGAAAAACAATCACCGGCCCCCGGGTTATCTCGCGCGATCCGCTCGTTCCCAGCGAAATCTTCAGAGATGTTTATCGGATTTAAACCACCGCCTCTTCGTGTTACCGCGGATAAAGAAAATCAAGGGGAGACTGTCCGGCTGAATCGCTCGCCCGTCGGATCGTTCGGGAAAAGAACACGACGGGGATATTTTCGATCCAGCCCAGTCGCTCCTCGACGAGAAAGTTAAGCCGCGCCGAAGTTTCTTCGTGACTTCTCCCGAACGGGGGGCACCGAAAGAAAGGGAGAGAGAGAGAGAGAGAGCGAGCGACTTCGAAACGAAAAGGCGGAGTTCGTGCCCGGGGCTTAATCAGAGTCTTCTCCACTTAGAGGCCGGTGGCAAAACTCAATTTTGAGTCGGTGCCTGCCGACGCTCAATTTTGACACCCTTCGCAGCCACGAAGCCAGCCGGGGTAGCGAGAAGAGGGCGTCGACCCTGGCCCGCCGAACTTGCCGCAGTTGCTCCTCTCGGGAGGGGGCCACGGTGTTGCAAACTTAGTTATCTATCGACGGGGAGACGACGTGCCGAGAGGCTGAAGGTGAGCTTCACCGGAAGCAGGTACCCGCGCAAACTCGTCGCGACGAAGCCTCGGGGAGGACGCGCGCGCCTGTGTCTTCGATTAGAGAACACCCACTTACCCGACAGCTTGAATCCCAATGGGTCCTGCGGGTGTCCGAAGGGGAATGGACGAGGTCCGAAGTGAAAGGGATGAAAGGCCTGGTGTCCTGCAAACGTGGGATGAATTCTCATGAATCGGCGTCGCGACGTTGCAGTCGCGCGAGACGATCGGCCCTCTAGCGCGTTTCTCTATTTTCTCTTCCGCGCGTACATCACCCTCGTTTAATCGCCTCCCCCCCCACTTCCCGCCGCATCGGTTACGGGGAAAAAGTTGCGTTATCCGCGGTGGGTAAAGTTGTACTCACTTGTCTTCGAGCGCGGCTCCCTGGGGCCGTCCACGGTCACCTTGATTGCCTTCGACAAGGTGGCCACTTGCGGCGGCGACGTCTGCAGCATGATCGTCAGGGTGAAGCTCTTCCCTGAAACGAAAAACGGAGGACGGTGGAGGGACGGGGAAGAATTATCGCCCGGCGGTAAAACGACGGTAAAACGGGCAGACGGGGGAGATTCACCCCCGTTGGGGACGACGCTCGTACGCGCGCACTTTGGCACTCGCACATCGCGCACCGTTGCCGTATCAAAAATCATAAAGGCCGCGATCCTCGGTCTGCGCTGACTCCATTATTCACGTCCAATTCGCCGACCGCGAACAGAGATATTCCCCAATCTCACGAGCTCGCTTTCTCTCTCTCTATCTCTCTCTCGAGCGTGATTTGTATCTCGCATCGTTTCCTGTTTAATCCAAAAACTCGAGGGGATCTCGCGCCTCCGCACGGAAAAAGAAAAGAGACTAGTTCCGGTAAATCGTAAATTGGTCGCAACATATGGACACTTAAAACAGCGACGTGAGCAATTCGAGTTGCGAACCTTTTCGCCGGCGCGGCGATGAAAATTGCTCGCGTTGCTAAAGTTTTCGACGTCCATGTAATGCAACCGATTCAGCCGCCTGGCAGGTAATCTTCTTGATTTTCCCGCGGCGTGTGTTGAAATTCGAGAGGGATTTTTATCCGAGCGAAATTACCACGGGTAGAATCGCAGCTATTCGCGGTGGTTCGCTCGGCTCGACATTTCTTGGCGTATTTAATCCGACGCTATCGCGAAGGGCACGCTTGGACGGCGCGAAACGGCAATGCGGCGCGCGCGTTCGCTGGAAACAAAACACAAATGTGCCGGAAGTAAGGGGTGAACGAGTGACGCCACCGCGTCGATGTTTGTTCCCGGATAGGCTGGAATATGTTAATGCAGTGTCGGCGTTAAACGCGCGACCCCCTGAAATACGCGGCCGTCCGTCACGCGCGATTTCGCCGTTTTACCTTTCGCCGTGCAGTCGACAGCGTTCGGTAGCGCGATAGATGAGATATCCTCCCCGCCGGTTATCTCGGAATTTCGATGGTGGGGCCCCGATAATGCGACGCAATAATGCCTCCGGAGCGCACTTCTCTCTCTCTCTCTCTGTAATTTTCGGCCGAGTGTGTTCAAATTTCCCGAAAATGCTCGTTTTCTATATTCACTTTTTGCGCCGGGAGTTTCGTGAAAATGACGGTTCAGTTTCAATTGGCCGGGAATTACAGCGCGCCCCGGAGTGCGCGCGCGACTCTCCCGATTCTTATTATCCGAATATCCCTCTCACTGAATTTTCCAGGCCGTTTTCGCACGTTGCCTCCGCTTTTCGTCCTCCAAGTCCCACCGATCACCGGAAACAATATCGGCGAACGCGCAGGTGAAACGTGGCTCGTAACTGGCCGGGCCGTTTACTAAATTTCGATGTTTCGACAGAAATATTTCAATCGATGACGCGCGCGGAATTCGTCACGCATCCGACGCATCGAGCCCGGGTCCCGGTAATCGCACGTACGCGAAATAAAACGCGGCCGGTCATCGCGTCGCGATGCCGAAGAAGGGAATAACGGCGACGCCGGGGATACACCGGCAAAACAAGGCACTTACGCGCTTTTTCGCGCTCCGCGACAATAAAGTTATACGGCTTATAATGGCGTCGCCAAGTGCGGCCGGTACGTACACGCGCGTGGTCGGGTAGTTTTATTTTATGGTAGCGCGGCTGGCCCCGGTAAACGACCGCGTTTTTATGGTGAACCACGACATTTAACCGGCTTACCGCCCGTCGCCCGGCGAAATACCGGACTTTAACTTCGCCGAGGGAGCCGTGCCATTTTCAGCGCGCGCTCCCTTTCGCGTCGCGCGCTGATTGGCCGCTGTTTTCGCGCCGCGTCGTTTCATGGTGTCCGTCCGAATAGTCAAAATCAATTTTACTCTTTGCGCATCGACTCTCGGACTGTTCGTGCCAGATTCGGAGGGATTCGAGCGGACTCCGCCAATCTTCTCGTCTGTCATATCGTATCTTAAAAAGATTTATTTCAAGTAATCCCCGAGAGAAAGTAGAAATTTATCATAAAGGCCAAAAACGAGTGATGATAGTAATGATAATAACTTTATTGCGCGCTATCTGAACGCGTGCAGTATGCACGTAAAATTTATACATGTGACCATTGAGTGAATGATGCGCAATGGGCGAGGCAAAAGCATATGTTTGACCTTAACGAAGTTAGTCGAGTGTACAAGGCAGTAAAATACGGACAATACTACACATTTGTGAGTAGTTATACAACTTAAAGACTAGTTTTAACGTACGTGGTCTTTTTGCAAGGAGAGTAAGAAGGATAAAGGAAGGATATTGGCTGGTAATGAATTGTAATAGTGAGCGGCGTTATTTGAAAAAGGTACGCGAAATCTAGAGGTTCGACGTTGTGGAAGGAATAATAATTCTTGACAGCGTATAGTATGCGAGGCGGCGTCTATGTGAAATTTAGAATTGTAGTGGAAAAGGTAACGCGAAGATAAGCGAGAATGTCGATACACTGAGAAAGGAATAGTTGAATAGCGACGAAATTTTGCTTAAATGAGCATAATTTTTTCGAGCGTGACGTTTTAGTCCACTGAACAAATTGTATAATTCCTGTAATGAGTTATCAATTGATTCAACTATTGCTATTTGGTGAGCAATTATATCAACGCAACATATTGTCGCGCCAACACGCAATTTGTTCAGTAGATGTGATATTTTTTTCGACGGAGGTCACTGTCGATTTTGTAGATCCAAGCTTTTTCTCAATGCACGTGAGACCACGTATACCGTGCAGCAAAGATGGATAATGAAGCGTTGGCGCATTTTTAGCCAGCCCGATTTTTCGTAAAAATTAATGCGATTTTCGAACGTTTTATGAGAAGCGAAGGTATGACTTTTGCAATCGTTGAATACGATTTGATAATTTTCTATTGAGATATGGAAAACAGATTACATTAGCGTAATCGAATGATGATATGATAAGAGACTGCGAAACAAAAAGTTTCTGAGGTACGGACAAGGCGTGATGGAGAGAGTGCAACATTCGAAGACGAGAGTATGCTGTCTGTGGTTTAACGATAACATAATATGCATTGCAATCAAAATTCGAGTAATAACGCAAGGGAAAAATATTTGATATTTGTAACTATAATCGTCACAGTAAGAGAATTATAGCCAGCAAAATCAATTTTCTAATAAGTGTTACTATAATGTTAGTGATAATAACCTTACATGCATGTTTTAACTGCTACTTGTAACATATTGTTACTATCCGAGTCGAAATTTGGATTCTACATTAAGTTTTCAAGCGGAGAAACCGAAATGACTTCCCATTTATAGCATCAGAGGAACACTAATAATGCTCCTTTGATACTACATAAAGGAATTTAGACCTCCTAGAGAGAAATTTGAAATTCTACATTAAGATTTCAAGTGGATGAGAATGGAAATAACTTCCCATTTGTAGTATAAAACGGAGCGCAAAAGAAGACCTTTGAAGGCTTAGTGTAGAATTCACATTTCAGGCACGATTTTTGTGGTTGAAACCAAAAAAACAGATTTTAGTTGGCGCCGAAAATGATTCGAGTTTCTCTCGGTGTACCGAATTAACAACGAATCATGCGGCGTTGCCGATCGTCTGAATGATTTTCGAAAAACGTGAGCCTCGCGAGCGCGCCGTCAGTCTTCCGCTTCACGACGGACGTGGAAGGTTTCGCCGGAGAGATTTCGCGGCTGAGAGCTAACGAGACCGAAGTTTATTGCCGGCGCGGTGTCAGGCGGCAAGAGGGCGGCGGCAACGCGAATCAGGGGTGATGGCAGGCATTTTGAGGGTGTTTATGAGGCATTATGTGTAACTCGTCGGAAGAACGACCCACCCCTCGGCTGTACACTCTACAGTCTACTCTGCCACGATCCGACTACGTCTACGTGAGATTCTAATTCATCGCGCGTTAGACGCGGCCGATGTTCGGCTTGCAGTTTCGCGCATCGTGATCGCACGTGGAAACGGCGTTCTTTCCGGAATTTCGTGAAAACGCGATCCTATCGCGGCGAAAAACACGATTGTGCTGATTTACCGCGCGATTTATGGGGAGGGGAGCGCCGGAGGGCATTTTGCGCCTTTTTTTGGCTGTTCGCTCTTTTTTTTTTTTTTTTTAAGCGCTTCTTTATGCGCCGAGGATTTGACTCGTCGACGATGGTATCCTTCGTGCTCGCAAACAAGTCAGAAAAAAAGTTATTAATCCACACGTCGTACGTCACTTTTATCCAACAAAATATTGCCCGGTCGCAGACGCGATTGAGAGGATCCATAAAGATTACGTTGGCCGAGTCGACTGTAGAGAGTTTCCCGTTACGGTGGACTTTTCCAGAAGATCGTCGAAGGATTTGCTCGGTTTTCGCCGGGCGATCCGCCGGGTATCTCTCAGACTCGGGGACTTTCGAAATTTCGCTCCGGAAACGGCAAGACGCGATGGAACGCGATAGTTTAACCCCTTTTTTTTTTCGCGGAAAAATCGCAACGACGTTTTTGCCCCGGGGTTTTTGCGCGAACGCATGATATTCTCGCGATGATTCAGCGAGCCGAAAACGAGCCGGGTGAGAAATTAATTCGGGCAAGGTTGGCTCGCGTCCACTTACGCGACAAGAATTATGCGAGAAGACACGAGAACGCTCGCGTTCGCCCTAAGTTTACCCAGGGATCATGCAGTGTTAAAAACTCCCCTGTTTGCCGGCGAGGCGAGGGTTGCTCGGATCGTTATTTCGGAGTGTTTGTCGTGTTTTAAGATTCTGACGTTTTGACTACCCGAATCATGGCAGACGAGGCCGAGTGTGTATATACCGCCCGTGACACGTTTGAAAGGAAGCTCTTTTTTTTATCCACACACGAGTGCCCGCACGAAATGTTAAACGAGCCACGGAGGGCAGGGGGAGAGTTAACACACATCGACTACGTGGATATTAATAATTTACACTTCTTTCGCGATTCCCTTCGGCGACGTTGCGGGGCAACGGATCGCGAATTACAGAGAATGATCGTCCCTCTCGCGACCGATT